AAAGAAGTCAAGAAGAAACTATTCCAAGGCCATAACATTAAAAGAGTTTCCTAGGTTTCTCTCAGAAATACTCGAAAGATAGGAGTATTGAAAAATCCAAAAGCGGTTACCAGTAGTTATCAACATTCACCACTACGCAAAGGAGATCATGGGCGATAGCGGTTACAGCCCCAACAAACAACACGATCACAAGCAATCGTGGATAGTGAGCACCAACAGTTGAAGGCAGTTACTAAGAAGTTCCCGCAAAAGGAGGAAAACGGTGGTGATCTTCATGTCTATAAATACTAAAAAGCATTATTTCACAGAGGATGACTTTTTTCACCCAGACACCACACCTAAACACTCTAAGACGCTGAAACTCTGCACCGCGCCAGACACCAGCTACAAGGAGACCTACGGTGGTCGTTGTTCGCCGTTGTGAGGAGTCGTACGTTTACATTCCAGCACCTTTACATTCCCGCATTTACATTTCTGCATTTTAATTTCAGTGCTTGTTGCTTGTATCTTTGTACATTGTTTGTTTCCTGTTTACTACATTTTTGTAAAAGCATCCACGTTTGATTCAATTCTGCCCATTTATTATTCACTATTCTTGCTTAATACTCTTTTACGCCGTTAATTTGAACATCACGTTAACAACACACTTAAAAGAACCCAAAAAGGACCTAAATCCAGTCCCCATATTGATCTTTGGATTATTTGTTTACAACTGTCATTTTTCACCGTAAACACCTCCTTTCTCCTATTTCTCGATTGTCGTCCTCTTCTCTCTCCCCAATTATGTCATTGTCCTTTCTTTCTTTGTAAGTTTGTGTATAGAGTGCATTTCTCTTCAGTGATTGTGTAATTTCTGATTGTATAGCACTTTCATCTTTCCTTGCGCCACAACATCTTCTTCTTCCTTTGTTGATAATCTTTGCAAATTTTGTTGAATGTTCACTACAACAAATGGTCTTTGTTGGTTTTGATTTGCTTTGTTTTATCCCATTTTCTATTTTCCTTCTCCTTTTTTTTTTGGTTGCTTCTTCTAACATTCACACTCCCTCATGTCTCACGTACAAAAACAGCTCCTGTGAAATCGCCCAAGAATGACAGTCAAAACGTAAAGAGTTGGCACAAAACTAAGTACAAATTAATTGAGTTAATTGAGTTCATGGTCAAAATTGGCTCACGTGTTGCTTGTGTCAGATAGCATCGGTTCTAAGTTTCAAGACCCGAACTTAAAGCTCACCCGTATCATCCATAGTAAAGAACTAAGTTACTTTTAGCTATCTCATTACTTTTAAATTTGGTTTATGTATATATAAAAAGGATGTGTTGATTTAATTGCACGTTAATATGTTTAAGAGCAATTTACAATTATTCCGCGGATAAGAAAGAGTGCAAATCATGAGCCAATTTTCTCCTATTTCTCGATTGTCGTCCTCTTCTCTCTCCCCAATGTTTATGTCATTGTCCTTTCTTTCTCTCGATCTTTCTTTGTGAGTTTGTGTATAGAGTGCATTTCTCTTCAGTGATTGTGTAATTTCTGATTGTATAGCAGTTTCATCTTTCCTTGCGCCACAACATCTTCTTCTTCCTTTTCTGATAATCTTTGCAAATGTTGTCGAATGTTCACTACAACAAATGGTCTTTGTTGGTTTTGATTTGCGTTGTTTTATCCCATTTTCTATTTTCCTTCTCCTTTTTTATTTTTTTATTTTTTATTTTTTTTATTTTGTTGCTTCTTCTAACATTCACGCTCCCTCATGTCTCACTGTACAGAAACAGCTCCTGTGAAATCGGCCAAGAATGACAGTCAAAATGAAAAGAGTTGGCACAAAACTAAGTACAAATTAATTGAGTTAATTGAGTTCATGGTCAAAATTGGTTCACGTGTTGCTTGTGTCAGATAGCATCGGTTCTAAGTTTCAAGACCCGAACTTAAAGCTCACCCGTATCATTTGGGATAAGGAAAATTTTCTAAGTTAAAAAATTATCTTGAAGAAAACTACATTTCAACAAGTTTTGAGGGTCAAGAAGGAGTCAAAAGATAAGCCTAAACATAAGAAAATATTGAAAGACCATCCAAGACTTTTAGTTTTATTAAAAGGGACACATTTCGAGCTATAGAATTTCGAGTGAAAACCTGACAAAATTAACAGAAATAAGGGAGAAGTTAGGGTCAACAACCCTTGAGATCCTAAACATAAATGACTTAACTGACCAAGATTGGAAAAAACCTCTAGTCAATTATCTCAAGGACCCTAACATTCCAACTGATCGAAGAACAAAATTTTGAGCAGTTAATTACATAATTCTGGTTGATGAATTGTATAGAAAGGGTGTTGATGGCACTCTACTTTGATGTCTCAGCGAACATGAGGCTTATATTGCCTTGGCGGAAATCCATGAAGGGATCTGCGGAGCTCATCAAGCTGGAGAAAGAATGAAATGGATGTTACTTCGAGAAGGATTGTACTGGCCCTCGATGGTTAAAGATTGCTTTGACTATGCAAAATCTTGTGAAGAATGTCAAAAGCATGGTAATATTCAACACGTTCTATCCTCAGAATTACATTCAATAATTAAGCCATGGCCTTTTCGAGGCTGGGCTCTGGATTTAATTGGCCAAATTCATCCTCCTTCGACAAAAGGCCATAAATACATCATTGTAGCTGTCGACTATTTTACGAAGTGGGCTGAGGCAGTTCCATTGAAAGAAGTTACTCAGAGTGATGTTGTTAATTTTATCCACGAATACATAATTCATCGATTCGGTATACCAGAAACTTTGACAACAGACCAAGGAACTATTTTTGTAGGTCGAAAAGTAACTCAATATGCAGAGTCCTTGAATATAAAAATGATAACTTTGACCCCATATTATGCTCATGCCAATGGACAAGTGGAGGCAGTAAATAAAATTTTGATCAAGTTAATTAAAAAACACATTGGATCAAAGCCAAGAAATTGGCATGACACTTTAAGCCAAGTATTATGGGCATATAGGAATTCTCCAAATGAGGCAACAGGGACAACCCCATTTCGACTTGTTTATGGCCAAAAAGCCGTTTTACCTGTTGAGGTAAATCTACAATCAGTTAGATTACAGCGGCAATTCAAGTTACCAAGAGAAGATTATTGGGCCTTAATGTTCGATGAATTGAATGTCTTGGATGAAATTCGCTTAAGTGCCTTAGAGAAAATGATTCGACAAAAAGAAAGAATTACGAGGTCATACAACAGAAAAGTACGAGGCAAGTTTTTTAATGTTGGTGAATTAGTATGGAAAGTAATTTTACCGTTCGACAAAAAATCAAGAAAACTTGGAAAATGGTCACCCAATTGGGAAGGCCCCTTCGAGATTGAAAATGTGTTTTCAAATAACGCGTATTCAATTCAAGAACTTGGAACTAATAGTTGAATCATGTCGATTAACGGTAAGTACTTAAAACCATACAAACCAGAAATACATGAAGTAAAAATAACTTGAGTCAAGGCAAATAAAAGATAATTCGAGTAATAAAAAGGCTAAATGAATAAATTTCATTTAAAGTAGAATTCGAGTATTTACAGCAAAAAAGTCTAACTACTAGAATTCAAAGAAAAATACATAAAAAATCAAAAAGGAGGCTTTGAGCGCATTTTAGTATAAACAACTCTCAAATTTTGATATCTGGTTTCAAGAGCTGTACATTGTGCATCCAGACTTGAAATATCCTCCATAGCTTGAGCTCTCTCGATAGTTAGGGTCTTCACATTTTCTATAAAAATTTTTCTTTTCTTCTCACAAGCCGCACTAGCTTTTTTCAGCATCTCTGACTCCTTTCGAGCTCTTTCGAGTTGTTTCTCTAGATCAACGATTCTAGCATCAACCTCTTTCTGCTTCATATCGGCATTGGTAGCCGATTCCTTTAGCTTGACCAACCCAGTTCGAGCCTCTTTCAATTTATTAGAAGCAGAGTCCTGCATTGCTCGAGCTTGATTTTGTTTAGAACCAACCACAACAGTTTGGTCTATAATTGCTAAAGAGTCGATGAAAAGGGACTCAAAATGTTGGAGCCCTTCAAGAAATGTCGAGAGCTAAGCCTTCAACGAAGAAAGTAAGCCTTTGATCTTGGCAACCAAGTCCTTGTCAGTTGGAAGGTTCTTCATCATTGGCGCATCAAAGACCAAGGACCTAAGCTCTTCGAGCATTTTTTCAGTTGATTCAGTGGGCTTGGAGACTTCTGAGTGTGACCCTGAGGGAGTATGAGACGAAGAAGAAAAGGTGAAGGTACCAGCCAAAATTTTGTCGATGGCCCCCTTTGGATCTTCCTCCACCATAGCGTTAAAATCATCCAAGTTCATTTCTGAGTTAATGGATGATGCTGGTGGTACAACTTCAATGTTGGGAGGACCTTCGACAGAAATTTGGGGGTTTTCAGGGACTTGGTTTCCCTCTTCAGCTACATTCTCCTCAACTTCATGCAAGGGCCCCTCCTCTTCTGATTGATATGTAACAACATCAACCTCGGGAGAACCCAGAGGCGGTGTTTGTCGAGATATAGGGGGCACCTAGAGAAAAAGAAGTTAGAAAATTCACAAGTATGAAGACCAAATTTCGAGTAAAAGGATGCCTTACCTCAGGAGCCGGCTCTGTTTGAGCTTAGTCTTCAGAACTCGAGTTAGAAGAGCTCGAAGAAGTATCCGAAGAAGAACTCGAAGATCCAGAACTCGAGGAAGAAGCTGCCTCGTTCCCTTGTTGGGCAGTAGCTGCAGGTTCTTTTCTCGAGATTTTTTGAGACTCCTCAGGGATTGGAGTCAAACGTTTTTTAGGGTCTTTTCAGACCCTAGGGGGTGAATTGACACTTGGAGTGTCATCAGTCGAAACCTGCCACAAAGAAAAGCATCAAAAACTACTCGAAAAGACAGAATAGTACTCGAAAAAAGACAAAATTTACCTCCACTGATGGAGCTGAAGGTTGATCAGGTGTCTGCTGCACAGGAGTCGAAGCAGCCATCTCGATAGAAATCTAGGGCTTGGTAGGAGTTTTAGCCTTGGGAATGGCCTTAGCCTAAGAAAAGAAAAGAAGCAAGCTTATAATCTAAACCCATGTCGAGAATTAATTAAACCCGAGTCAAAATAGTTACCTTAGACACCCAAGAGGCAGCTTGGGATGTAGACGAAGAACCCTTTTTAAGGGTTGTTGTAGAAGAACCCTTTCGAGAAGATTTTTGTTTTTTCTTAAGAGGCTCATCCTCTTCCCAATCCTCTTGGTCATATCGACTAACAAAAGGTTCCGTTGGAAGAGCTGCAAAATTTCTCGAGATGTTAAAATCTAATAAAAAGAAAAAAAAAAGTATTTCGAGAAGAAAGCAGGGCAAATCTTACCATCTTTAAACTTTGTAAGGATTCTCACATCTTGAATATCAAAGTGAAGAGGGTAAGGATAAGTTTTAAAAGAAAACCTCGAAGCTGTTATTCTACTTCGAGGAGGGGATAATTCGTTCAAAAGAGTCGAAGGTAAATCGACCCATTTAGGTGAAATTATGGGTAAAGCCAGAGCAAAATTACAGTTTGGCAAAAGTGGAAAAGTTGGTCAAATTTTTTTAAAAAGAATCTCTTCTATAAACTTCTCAAAAGGATGAAATTCCCTATACCTATTTACTTTTTCTTTTGTTTTTTCTCTCAAGGAAAGAGCAGCTTCAAAAATAGTTTGGAATATTCTTTGTGGTAAGTAAAGTACTTTAGAAAATCGTTCAAAAGATTAGATTTCTCGAATATGCGTACCTCTTGTCTTGGCCTTTGGATCCCCCTTCTGAAATAGAGAAAAAGCAGAAGTCATATTCTGGTTGCACGCTTCGATAGATATCTCAGGGTGAAGATAATAAGTAGACCACCAACTTTGAAAAGTGCTAGTACAGTAGAAAATAGGCTTGAAATCAAGAGGGGAAATTTTTGTCCTACGTTTTCGAAAGAAACTAATAGCCTCATTCAAATCATCAATACTCTTTCGAGCGTTTTCAAGAATATCTAGATTTGACCCCTCCAACATGAGAGAAGGTTTTAATTGGCCCAACCCAAATTGTCGAGCTACCAGATTTGGTTGATAAGCAACCACTTGATAGAGTGAAACTACAAAAAAGAAGTTAACATGAAAGAAATTGTCTTCATGTCATTAAAACTTCAGACTGGGCACTTGGAGTTCTCGAAGGAAAAGGGCGTTTAAACCAGACTGGCCCTACCTTTCAAGCAGAAAAAGGAGCAAGTTGAGGAGTGAAAGATTGAAGAGATAAGAAAAAATTGAAATATTGTCGAAAAGCATTACAATAGTGTTTTTTTGGCTATGTTAGTAGTCAAGAAAGTCAGACGAAAACCTTCAATCTCTCGAGAAATATTGAGTGGTTCAGAGCTTTGTAATTTTTCTTCAAAAATAGCATTCAGCCAGAGTTGAAGCAGCCAAAAGGGGCCACTAATGACTGAAGGAAAGTCATTAGACCTAAATGAAGCTACGGCCTCATTTAAATTCTCATACAAATTCCCTAAGATAAGCTTCCCAAGGCATATTGAAGACTCTTCGTGCAGTAATTGAGCCAAAGTAAGCAGTGTCTTTGGTACTTGGAGCGATCTCGAGCAAAAAACGTATGCGGAAAGCCAAAACATCAGAAAAGCAACATGCTCCTCATCAGTAATGGGACCATCTCGATTCATATTCAAGGTTATGAAGAGTTGGTAAGAAAGCTTTTGGAAGTTGGGGGTTACATCAGGATTTTTGGGATGAGAATCTGGTCGAAATGAAGGACCAGTTGGTCGAAGCCCAGCAATGGCCGCGACATCAAAAAGGGTTGGAGTAATCATAGCACAAGGAACATGAAAAGAGCTAGTTGCTCGATCCCAGAAGAAAAGAGAACTCATAATCATAGGAAAATTATAAGACATGTTATACCTAGACAATTGAATGACATCATAGATTCCTAGGGCCCTCCAACTATCCTGTTTTTCACTCTCAACCATATCTAACCATGGTAAATACAAATCCTTGGATAGAGGTGGCATGGTTCAGAATATTTTGTGGGCATTCTCGAGAGAATCCAAGTTATATTTGGAAGAGAATGCCAAGACCCTATCAGCAGAAAAAGAAGACTCGACAGATGGCTGGGGAACAAAAGGACCTAAAAATGCATGAGGTTTCGAGCCTAATGAAAAGGTAATAAGTACTTGGGATTTCCAAATAGCCAATTTCTCCTCCTCGAGAGGTGGCTCAGGAAGGTAGCTCGAATGACCCAAAGGCACGAGCTCAGCACTGGAAAAAGCAGAAGGAACCTTAGACTTGGAGGCCATTTTGACGAGAAATAGGGAAGATGGGAAAGAACCAGAAGAAATTTTGACACAAAAAGAAGCAGAAGAGGGAGAACAGAGCTCTAAGTAGGAGAGTAAAAATGAAAGCGTGAAAAAATGAGAAGGTAACTTCGCTTTTTATACTGGTCCCCAACCTCGTGCAAGGCCCATACAAGAGCCCAAGTCCAGAGTATTTTGGCACTTAGTGGGAAGATGAAGAGATAGTGGGGTGTCTTTTCGATAAAAAATGGCCTTAAATCCCTAACAGAACAGAGCACGTCTCAATAATGGGACATTTTCGGTAACTGCCAGGCAGTACCTGCATTTAATGCGCTGACTTTGGACGACGTGCCTGACATAAAGCAGGTAAGTGGCAGAGACGCCATAAGAAATGGCGGGAAAATTAGAAAATAAAAATTTTCCAATTAAATATCAAAATAAAAAATATTAAAATCTCATAAACCTGAGATATTAATATTTTGGGGGGCATCTGTTTGGGATAAGGAAAATTTTCTAAGTTAAAAAATTATCTTGAAGGAAACTACATTTCAACAAGTTTTGAGGGTCAAGAAGGAGTCAAAAGATAAGCCTAAACATAAGAAAATATTGAAAGACCATCCAAGACCTTTAGTTTTATTAAAAGGGACACATTTCGAGCTATTTTAGAAGATTTTTTGTCATATTGTTGGTTTTTCTCTAAACTGCTTGAAAGACAAGAAAATATTCAAAGTCCACAAAACTAAAGGTTTTTTCGAGTAATTTGAGGGGTTTCCAAGTCAATGACACTAAAAACTGCTCGAAAAACAGGACTAACAAGAAAAATTATCACAAAACTAAGGACTTTTTCGAGGAGTTTTCAAGTCACTGACACCTAAAACTGCTTGAAAAAACAAGACTAACAGGGAAATATTCTAAGTCCACAAAAATTGATGGCTTTTCGAGGAGCTTTTGAGGAGTTTCCAAGTCTCTGACACCCAAAACTGCTCAAAAAACAGGAAGTGATCAGAAAATATTCTAAGTCCACAAAATTGGTTGAGCTCCAAGTTTCCTCCAGAATTGCTCGAAAAATAAGAAGTGGTCAGAAAACATTCTAAGTCCACAAATCAGGTCGAGCTCTATAGTCCCTCCAGAATTGCTCGGAAAACAAAAATGAGCAAAGAAAATGTTCTAAGTCAACAAGACCAAGACAGGCTCTCAAAACTCTAGAATGGCTCGAAAAGAGAAGTCAAGAAGAAACTATTCTAAAGCCATAACATTAAAGGAGCATCTTAGGTTTCTCCAAGAAATACTCGAAAAATAGAAAGAAAAAACAAACACGAGTCTTAATAGGTCAAGTCATTGAAAAAATCCAAAAGCAGTTACAAGTAGTTATCAACATTCACCACTACACAAAGGAGATCGTGGGCGATAGCGGTTACGAAAGAAGCCCCAACCAACAACACGATCATGAGCAATCGTGGATAACGGGCATCAACAGTTGGAGGTAGTTACTAAGAAGTGCCCGCAAAAGGAGGAGAACGGTGGTGGTTTTCATGTCTATAAATACTCCAAAACACCATTGTACAAAGGACGACTTTTTGCACCCAGACACCGCACCTAAACACTCTGAGATGCTGAAACCCTGCACCGCGCCAGACACCAGCTTCAAGGAGGCCCACAGTGGCCGTTGTTCGCCGTTGTGAAGAGTCGTACGTTTACATTCCAGCACCTTTACATTCCCGCATTTACCTTTCTCCATTTGAATTTCAATGCTTGTTGCTTATATCTTTGTACACTGTTTGTTTCCTGTTCACTACATTTTTGTAAAAACATCTACGTTTGATTCGATTCTGCACAATTACTATTCCCTATCCTTGCTTAATACTCTTTTATGCCGTTAATTTTAGCATTACGTTAACAACACACTTAAAAGAACCCAAAGAGGACCTAAATCCAGTCCCCAGATTGATCTTTGGATTATTTGTTTACAATTGTCATTTTTAACCGTAAACACATCCATAGTAAAGAACTAAGTTCCTTTTAGCTATCTCATTACTTCTAAATTTGGTTTATGTATATATAAAATGGATGCGTTGAATTAATTGCACGTTAATATGTTTAAGAGAAATTTACAATTATTCAGAATAAGAAACAGTGAAAATCGCAAATGTAAATGAGCCAATTTTCTTTTGACTAAATCTTGAGGAATCTTCACTTTAGTTCCTAAGGAATTCTCACTTTAGTTCTAAAGTTTGAGTCCAACATTTTAGTTCTTAAAACATTAAATATTACGTTAGTTCCTAACTTCTTTTTCTATAATTCATTTTAGTCTCTGACATCAAACTCTATTAAGAAATCGTCAGAAGGCTGGGTTGTTACGTTAAGTGCTACGTCAGAATCCCACTTAGTAGAAACAATGTTATTTTTGGAAGCTGGCTGGTATCGTTCTAATTGAAGCCCTTTTTGCCCAAACTTAATACATATTTCCTCATTTGTGTCGAAGAAGAACCCTACCCTAAGTGCACAGAATCTCGTCCAAATTTTTGTTTGTAGTTATATTTGGGGTGAAATATTTAAAGATTGAAGTTTGTTGTAGTGGAAAAAGGGCCAACAGATGGAGAATTCGGTGAAAAAAAAACTTTCTTAATTCATTGAGTTATTTTTTTGTCTTGGGGTCGAACAAGATAAGAAAATTAGATTTGTGGCTTTTAATTATGCATGATTTTTGTTTTCTATTGGTTTGATGAGGATTTTTTTATTGATGGATTTATGTATCAGCCCATATTAATATTTTACTTTTTTTTCTTTTATTTTGAGTGTTCCGTAGGAATGTAAGACAGACAGAAAAAATCGTTTGTAACTTACAAACGAAAAAATTTGTCTGTGATATATTTTATTATTTTTGTTATTTTTTGTTCATATATATAGTTATTTTTGCTTGTTCCTGATTATCACAATTTATAAACATAATAAAAACTACAAATTAGGCATCTAAAAATTCAAAAATGATTTACAAAATATAAAATTTAAATGTCATTACAAATGAAGACAAAAACATCCAAATAAATAGTGTTAGAAATAAAATATAGGTATTCATCATAAATAATTAGTATGCTCATCATTTGAAGGAGAATCATCATCAATAGACGAGGAGTCGGAAGAAGAATGATACATAGAGCTGATAACTGGTGGTGGTAGAGTTGGTGGAGGAGGAGGAAGAAATGTGGAGCTGCTTGCTCTCATGAGCTCAAAATATGCATGCATCTGCTGCATTTGCATATGCTGTTGCTTGATCTGCTACTGGACCTCCCTTTGCATCCTCGATGCCACATTCTTCTCCATTTTCTTTGCCCACTTCTTCTTCTATGCACTTTCCTTGCTCTTCCACATCTCCTCATTCTGATTCTGGAGTTCTTCATTGAGGGCATGGACCTGAGTGCGGACCATGTCCTCCACTTCCTCAGGTGCAAGAGAAGGGACATCTCCGGTGACAGATGCAGGGGACATGGAGTCTGCAAAGCGGCCTCCCATGCCATAAATGCTTTATAAAGGTCACTCACTGTCTGTGACCACATAGCATCCTCATCAACTAACTTTGGATTCTGAGAAGATGTCTCTTCAAGCCTTTGAACATAGTCATCATATAGTTCAGTTCAGATAATTAGATATTAGTCTGGAGAACTATTTAATAAATCACTAATAATAACATATAGTATCAATATCAATAAGAATGACTGACATATGTGGCCTGAGATCGTGTATCAACCCACAGGTTTTTGTCTCCCCTGCGAGTATATGTTTCCTTGAACAACTCTCTATGCGTAGGTGGCCTTTTCAACGACTTCTCCTGCAATTCGAAATAAAGATGTTCCATATCTAAAAATCTCCTATGACAATCAAACCATGAATTTTTCCCTCTATGTTTCAAAGTAAATGCCTTTGTATCATCCATATAAATTGGTCATGCCAATTTCCCTTGAGTCATCCATCTAGACAACATTCCATAAGCAGAAAAATCATTTATCATCCACATTAGTGTTGCTTTCATATTAAAATTTTGCTTCCTTGATAGGTCATAAGTTACTACACCCTCATACCATAACTCTTTCAACTCATCAATCAAAGGTTGAAGTATACATCAATTTTAGCCTTTGGATTTTCTAGACCAGGAATTATACAAGTCAAGAACAAATATGAATTTTTCATGCTCATTTCGGGAGGAAGATTAAAAGGTATAACCACAATAGGCCAACAAGAATATGGTTTATTAAATTGATTGTTTGGAGTGAACATCAGCACATAACCCTAACCTTACATTTCTAGGATCAGATGCAAACTCAGGATACACTTGATCAAAATGTTGCCAAGCCTCATCATAAGATGGATGAGTCATTATCCCATCACTCCTTTTATTTTCAGCATGCCGCGTCATGTAAGGAGCTTAACTCATAAACGCATACAACCTTTTTATCCTAGGAATTAAAGGCAAATAATGCATTCTAGTTTGTGGTACATCTTTATGTTTACCACTTCTACCACCTCTTCTTGGTTTAAACCTAGGCTTTCCACAGAATTTGCAATTTGTCAAAAGAGCATCATCTTGGTTTAAGTGCTTATTTTTTTAGACTTTATTTAATTGTTTGAAAAATATAGAGAAAAAAAGAGTTTAAAAAGTTAAAGAGAAAAGAAGAAAAAAAGAAGAAGAATAAAATTAATATAAATTTTTCTAAATTAGATAA